CACATCATGGGGTGCGCGCGCAGTCGTCGACGGAGCAGCTCCCCCGCGGGCGCAGCAGCCGAGCGGCGCTGTCCCCCCCCACGCCGGGACCCCGGGCCCAGGGGCGCTGGCCGCGAATTCGACACCGCGGGGCACACGCCCCAAGGCCTGCCTTACCCGGACGGGAGGACAACCGGGGACGCCCAGCACTCCAGGTAGGGCCCGGGTGCCCGGGAAGGGGCGGGCAGGGGGCGTGCCCACGCTCACCCGCGCGTCCTCCGGCAGGCTGACGCTCAGAGGCACGCGGAGCTCCCCGATCCTCAGCTCCCAGCGAGGCCCACCGTGGGTCCCAATTCCGGGCTGCAGGGCCGCGCTCCTCCACGCCGGCCTCCCTTGCACGTGGGAAACGCAGAGAGCCTGGGAATTCCACTGACGTCGGCATCTGTGAGCCGCACAATGAAACCCCGTGTCTGATTTCCAGCCCTGAGCCCTTGAGGGAGAGCGAGTAAGGGGATTTGGGGGGCTGCGGTGCAGGGGCGCTGCTGGTCCTACTGTGAGCCGAGCGGACAGGGAAGGACCCTGCGCTCATCCCCGCCTCGCCGCGCGCTGCCGGGGGCGCCCCGGGCTCCTCGCGCACCCCGACCTCGCAGCCATCGTGAGCGCCACGACTGCAGGGGAGCACCCGCCCGCCCCCGGCTCCCCGACTGGGGGCTCCCTGCCGCCCGCCCGAGAGCCTCACCCCCCCAAGGGCAAGGGCGGAGCCGGCTCCGGGGCCGCGCCGGTTCAGTCCCCAATCAGGCGGCAGGAGTCAGCATTCTAGAAACAGTCCCTCCGCGGAGGGAACTGCACGCGAGCAGCAGGGCCCCCGGCCTGCAGGGACTGCAGGGACTGCGTGGACGGGCAGCCCGGAGCCCCCCGGAGCCCCGGGGCTATGGGAGGAAGCTGAGGCCCAGGCCTAGGGCAGGAGGGGGGAGGCTGGCGTCGGAAGCCCCGAGGACCCTGGAAGAGCCAAGCCCTGGCCTCCCTGGGGGGGCTGCTGCCGAGGGGGGACCCCCGCGCAGGAGGGGGCTGCTGAGGCCCTAGGGGCCCGCCTCTGCCGTACCCCCCCACTCCCCCCCCCTGCCATTCCTGCTGCAATGACCCTGGTTCTTAGGCCTCCTGTGCTTTCCCACACCTGCCTGGATGCTTCCCTGTGTTTGAAGGAAGCCCTACACCCAGCCTGGGGCTGGGACGCCCCACCCCGACACCCAGAGGTGCGGCCCTGGCGACCGGCCGCCCAGCTGCGCCTGGCCTGGGCCCCTCGGATGACGGCTCTTCCCGGCACACCTTGCCCTGGGTCCTCGGGTCCGTGTAGCTCAGGGGCTGTTGGCCACGTGGGGAGTGAGTGGCTTTCTACCCCTGTAGTGCAAAACGTGTGTAAATACCTGTGAGCACCCTCCGTGAGCTCAGCAGGATCCAAAGGTCAGTCCCTGAGGTGCAGCCCCCTACACACACGCGCACCCACACACGCACACACACGCAGTTAACCACGTGGGCAGGCCCTTCTCGGGCTCACCCTCCGCCCTCGGCTGCGTGCTGGCCCGAGGCCCCCGGGGGTACTCGCCTGGGCCCCCCTCTCAGGCCTCAGGAGCCTGCGGGATCCCCGGGGGACTGTAGAGCAGGCCCCCCGAAGGGCTGGGCTGGCAGCCCCGCGGCCTGGACGGGGGCCTCAGCTGCCTGCCATTCGGGGGTGCAGAGGAAGCCGCCCCACCCGCTGGAGGGCTCTCCTCCGTTCCTCACCTGGAGACGGGGCTCCCCCCTGGGGAGCTGGGCCAGGAGCCAGCAGTGCTGGCAGGACGGCGGGGGGCGGCTCCTCCAGCAGCGGGGGGGCCCGCTGGAGCCCCTCGGCCCCGCAGCCTGGGGAAGGCAGCCCCTGCTCGGGGACACTGGGACGGGAGTGGGGGGATCTCCGCCGCGCCCCACCCACAACTCATTCACACCCACCTCTTTTCCTATCCCTGTCCTTCCTTCCCCCGCGGACCTCACCCTTCCCGAACCTGGGCTTGGGTTTGGCGGGACCTGCTGTCCCTGCTGAAAGCCGTCCCCCCTGGCACCCGGGAAACCCCAGGGCAGCTCCCCCCCCCCCCGCCCGCAGCCGCGGCCTCATCCCCGCTCGCTCCTCTCATTCCCCGGCTCTGCTCCCCAGGGATCTCCCTGGCTGACCTGAGGGCCACCGATGCACCGAAACAGCGTCACTAACCTTTCCCCATTCCCCACTTCCTGCCCTTCTCCCGCACTGGACTGGCATCCCGGGTCGGCAGGGCCGGGGGGGGGGGGGGCAGAGCGGCGGGGCCGGCCCCCACCCTGCGGCCCCGGGCAGCACGGGACCGTGTGGACGACGCCCGGGGCCGCGGCGATGGGCCCAGCGGGCCACCCTGCCAGCGCGGGGCACGGAGGGACTGGCAGCGGGGACTGCCGAGCTCCCCCCGAGTCACCTGACCGGCCTCACGCGAGGGAAGAGGCCTTTGTGCCCGGGGTTGTGCGACCCCCAGATCATCGACTGGGAGCTTCGTACATTTGGTCCTACAAACGAGTGCAACTTCGGGGCGCCTGGCCGGCTCCGCTGCTGAGCAAGCAACTCGACCTCGGGGTTGTGGGTGCGAGCCCCACGTGGGTGTACACAGCGCTTCAAAGTAAAATCTTAAAAAAGAGGCATAACTTCTCTTTTTTTTAAAAAAAAAAAAAAGACTTTTTGAGTGGTATCTCTGGGTGGTTCTGTGGTTTAGCGCCTGCCTTCGGCCCAGGGCATGATCCTGCACCCGGGATCGAGTCCTGCGTCGGGCTCCCTGCATGGGGCCTGCTTCTCCCTCTCACTGTGTCTCTGCCTCTGCCTGAGAGACACACACAGAGAGAGAGGCAGAGACACAGGCAGAGGGAGAAGCAGCTCCCTGCGGGGAGCCCAGGACCCCGGGATCACGCCCGGAGCCAAAGGCAGACGCTCAACCGCTGAGCCACCGGGCGCCCAACACCCATAACCTCTTGACAGCCCAAGCAGCAAGCTGAGTCTTTCAAGACAAAGACGTACTGAGGGAAACATGTGCAACATTCGTGACAACTAAGAGCCCTAGTGGAGGGCAAGTACCCGTCTTTCGGGGAGGCAATTACTTGGCGTATTAAGACGTCCAGTGCGCACTGGTCTTGACCTGGCGATTCCACCAGGAAGAGGGAGCGGCCTGGCGGGCGATTGACACCTTCACGGTGTGGACTTGCAGCGCTGCGATGAACCGCAGAGACAGAGGAGAAAGGGACAAGTACCACCGACTGGGGGGACGCATTATGTAAACTATGGTACATGGAGGCTGTCAAAGCCATGCAGCCAGAGAAGCAGTGAGCTGGACATTTGTTTAAAGACCTGGAAGGGGGATCCCTGGGTGGCGCAGCGGTTTGGCGCCTGCCTTTGGCCCAGGGTGCGATCCTGGAGACCCGGGATCGAATCCCACATCGGGCTTCCGGTGCATGGAGCCTGCTTCTCCCTCTGCCTGTGTCTCTGCCTCCCTCTCTCTCTCTCTCTCTCTCTCTCTCTCTCTCTCTCTCTGTGACTATCATAAATTAAAAAAAAAATAAATAAAGACCTGGAAGGTTTCCACAGACCTTTTTTGTTAAAGATTTTATTCATTTATTCATGAGAGATTTCATCCTGATTCTCCAGGATCATGGCCTGGGTCAAAGGCGGCGCCAAAGCGCTGGGCCATCAGGGCTGCCCCTCCGGCAGGTCCTTAAAATTAAGCGTCCAGGGGCGTGGGCTGGCTCAGTCTGCAGAGCGTGGGACTCTCGATCTCGGGATCCTGAGCCCCAGCCCCACAGTGGTGCAGAGAGGACTCCAAGAAGATAGACTTTATTTTTTTAAAGATTTATTTATTTATTCATGATAGACACAGAGAGAGATAGAGAGAGACAGAGACACAGGCAGAGGGAGAAGCAGGCTCCATGCAGGGAGCCCAACCCGGACCCATCCCGGGACTCCAGGATCGCGCCCTGGGCCCAAGGCAGGTGCTAAACCGCTGAGCCACCCAGGGATCCCGAAGAAGATAGACTTTAAAGCCAAGCGTCCATCGCCACAGGCCCCACCATTGTACCCTTGGCCATTTATACCAAGCAGATGGACACAGGATGACACAGAAACGTGTCCATGAATGTTCCAGCAGGTGTAGTGGTAGGAACCCGCAGCTGGCAACAGGCATCCCGCCCTCCGCGGGGGGGGGGGGGGGGAGGAAGCGCGTGCCCCCTGGCTGCCCCAGGGCAAGGGCTGCAGCTCGCAGTAGGAAGGAAGAACCGACTGTGGACACACGCAGCAATCTGGATGGGCCTCCACGGCGTGGTGTGAGGGGAGGCGGCGGGGGGGGGGCATCGCCCCAGGTTACTGATGCGGTCTGCACAGCGCGCCGGTCCGTTTCCCTCAGTGATCAAGGGACCAAGCGCAACACCAAAACACAGCACTGGTGGCCGAAGGGCGGGAGGAGAGGGGAGGAGGCTGTGCTTAGGCCAACGGGGGGCTCCTCGGGAGGGAACGAGTGGGCAGGATGCGCGAGGGGTCACTTGGATCTACCCGCGTGCGGGGCCGCGCGCGCGCACACGGACGCACCACGCTCCGAGCGGCCCTCGGGTGCCCCCGTGCCATTTGCTAGTGCGCCACCGCGCAGTCGTGCAACACGCCGGCCCTAGGGGAACCGCGCGAAGCGCCCTGGCGGCTCCGGGTCACTCCCCGGAGTTTCCTCGCTCCCAGACCCAAGTTCAAACCAAAGCACACAGGCAGGGCTTGGCGAGGGCCCACAGGACGACTCGGCGACTCTGCGGAGTCCCCAGTCCCCACGCCACCTCCGAAGAACGGGGACCCGCGTGCAGGCCTCCCGCCGGTCCGGGCCGGGGGCTAGGAGGGGGCGCGGGGGCGGAGCTCGAGGGGCCTGCGGGTTGTGATTGGGCAGCGGGGCGTCCGTCAGGCTCCCAGGGGCCGGTCTTTCTCAGGCGGCCAGGGGGCGGGCCCGTCAGGAATCGAGCTTCGTGATTGGCGGAGCGAAGCGGAAGGGGCGGGCCAGGAGGGCGGGCCCCGCTACGGGCGGGGAGGGGCCCCCGCGCCTGCGCAGAGGGATGTGAGGGGGATTCCCCTGGGCGTCGGGGCGGGGCCAGCGCGCGGGAACCTCGGCCCAGCCTTCCCGTCGTGCCCGGGTACCTGGGCTCCGGCCCCGCCGCTCCGGGGATCTGGGCTCCGGGGGTGTGGGCCCGCCCGGAGGCCGCCTTCCCCGAGGCCAGGGGGCCCCGTCCTTCCGGGCGGAGGCCGAGGAGAAGCCCCTAGGGCGTCCGGGCCCCGGGGCGCCGCGGAGGGCTCCGTCGGGCTCCTGTCCCGCGCGCCCTGCGGGTCCCGCCCGCGCCGTCCTGGGAGTCTGAGCCGCAGGCGGCCGGGCGTGGTGTACCGGGGCCCCCGGGGCCGGAGTCGGGGCAGGGGGGGCGGGGAACCCCCGGGACGACCGGGGACCGACTCTGTCGCAGGCCTGGCCCCTGAGAGCGGCTCGGCGGGGGGCTCCTGGGCGATCCCCCTCGCAGGGCCGACCCCGGCCGTGGCCCTGCCACACGCACGCGCGCGCCCTGCTCCTCGCCCCGCCCGCCGCGGGCCCTGCCGCGCGCACCCCCTGCAGCAGGCCACCGTGTTCCAGCGCCCTCGGGGTGCTTCGGACGGTTCTCTGCAAAGCGCGGGTCGCGAGGTCCCTGCAGCAGGCGCACACGCACACGCACACGCGTGCACACACACGCCCAGTACCCGGGCAGGTGGGCAGGGCGGCGGCCAGTGCGCGGGGACGGTTCTCTGCAAAGCGCGGGTCGCGAGGTCCCCGCAGCAGGCGCACACGCACACGCACACGCGTGCACACACACGCCCAGTACCCGGGCAGGTGGGCAGGGCGGCGGCCAGTGCGCGGGGGCGCGGTGCTCCCCGGGGCATGTGTGCACTCTCGTGCGGTGGGCACCGCAGGAAGGTAACGCAGCGTTTCCCGCGGCCCTGGGCAGGTGTCCCCGGGAGGGAGTCGTGCACCCGCACGCCCGGGCCGCTCCGGCCTCCGCCCCGCGGCCGTCAGCTGTGCCGCCTGCCGGCCCGTCGCGGGGAGCGCAGCAGGGTGCGCCGGCACGGGCGGCTCCAGGCTGCTCCAGGAGCGGGGCCTTCCGGACCCGGGCGCGCCGCGGTTCTCACGCTGCAGGGCCGCATGGGAAGCCCCGCAGGGTGTGTTCACACTCGGTCGCGGGCTCCGCCCCGGACTCTGACCTTGCACACCTGAGGTGGGGCCTGAGAACAGCGTCTCGGGCAGCTCCCTCCGGGCTGCTGCGGCTGCTGCGGCTGCTGCGGCTGCGCGGCCGAGACCGCACCCCCCCCCCCCCCCCGTGAGCAGCGGTGCCCGGGCCGGGAGTCCTAGGTGTGCGCATGCTCCCTGCCCTCCTGGCCCGGCTCCTTCGCAGGGTCCCCGTGGCCGGCGCAGGGCGCTGCAGCCCTCGAGGGGTCGGGACTTACTTCCTGCTGAGCGGCGGTCGCCCTGCCCTGCCTGGGTGGGCGGGGGGGAGCGGCCTCGGCCCGGGGGCAAGGGGCGTCGGCTCGGGGCGCTGCCGGGCGGCCCCAGGCCCGGGTGACTGCACGTGCACACCAGGACACAGGGGCGCCGGCCAGGGAGACGGGAAGGGCGGACCTCGGACTGCAGGGCGGAGACCCCGCGGCCGCGCTCGGGCGGGACAGGAGCGGCCTGGACGGCGACAGTGGCCTTGGGGAGCCCGGGCCGCGGGCCTGCCGCCGAGGGCCCCCAGCGCTCTGCTCCGCGCGGGCCTCTCCTGGGGCGCTGCCCCTCGCACCCCTTCTTCCCAGCTCCCGGCTGAGGCCCGCTCCCTGCCCCCCGCTCCCCCACCCACGGCGGCGCTCGGGCCCGGGCTCGCGGTCGGTGGGAGCGGCAGGTGGAGGGCAAGGCCGGTCCCTGGCCACGGTCTGTCCCCGGAGCGAGCAGCTCGGGGACCCTGGCCCGTGAGCGCGTCCTGGCCGCGGGTCCGGTGAGTGGCCTTCGGCTGTCCTCGGCCTCGGCCTCCCGGGCCCTCCGCCCGCGGGCGCCTCGGCCTTTTCCTCGTGGACACTTGGCGCTCTGCGTGTCAGGAGACAGCGCTGAGTCACATCTGCCTGCTATTTTTTCCCCGCCTGTCACTTGTCCCTTGACTCTGTGGTTTGGGGTTTGTCTTTGGTCAGGCACACATCTTGAGTTTGGGTGTCATCAGACTCTCCAGGCTTTTCCTTACTTTTCTTTTTTAAGATTGATTTAGTTGAGGGGTGTCCGGCTGGCTCAGCGTTGGGGTGCCTGCCTTGGGCTCGGGGCCTGATCCCGGGGTGTAGGATCCAGTGCCCTGCCGGGCTCCCCGCGGGGAGCCAGCTTCTCCCCCTGCCTGTGTCTCTGCCTCTCTCACGGATAAATAAATGAAAGCTTTAAAAAAAGAAACGTTTATTTTTTGAGACCAAAGGGACCAGGAGGGGCAGAGGGAGAGGGCGGGACAGGATCCCCAAGCCGACTCCCCGCTGAGCCGGGAGCCCCACGGCCTCCATCCCAGGACCCTGACACCGTGACCTGAGCCCAGACCAAGAGGGGACGCTCAGCCCACCGAGTGAGCGGCGGCTCCACGGCTTCAGAGGGTCCCCGTCCTAGGGCACAGCCCCGGGGGGAGGGGAGGCCTGAGGGGGGGGCGCCTTCGGGCCTCTGGCAGGAGTTCGCCGCCCCGTGCAGGGGAGGCCCAGGAAGCCCTTGCCGTCACCGCAGCCCGGGGGCGCCCCGCGGGGGAGCTGTCGTCCCCCCAGGCTGGGTGGCAGCAGGTTCCCGGCTCCCAGGGCCCCACCCCGTCCTCTCCTTCCACCCCGTGGGGGGAGCGGCCGCCCTGAGGCAGGGGTCCCCTCTGTGTGCACACAGGCCTCCTCCCTGGCCTCCCCGCCGTCCAGCCTCCCCGGCGGCTGCCAAGTGGGCGGGGGCAGCAGGTGCAGAGGACAAGCCCCAGGGGCACAGCCCAGGTGGGGGCGGCCCGGCTGGGGGTGGCGGGGCCGCGGGCAGGGGCACAGAGGAGCGGGTGTCAGCACGTCCTTGGTCCGGAGAGGTGCCACCGCGTCCTCCCCCCGGCGGGGACTCGCACGGGGCTCCCCGGTGACACGCTCCCACTCGCTCAGCAGCTCTGCTGTGTCATGCAGCTTCCGGGGACTGCTTGTCCTGCTGCCTGTCGCTGCGGGGCCCCTGGTGGCCACCCTGTGCCCGTGGAGCCCGAGGACGGTGCGTGTCTCGGGAGCGGGGCCGGGCTCCCCGGGCGCAGAGGCACAGGCCGCGGTGCTGGCTGGGCCTTCCCCTTGCCTCGTGGACGTGCTCGGGCTCCCGGGGACACCCGTCAGCAGGGGCAGGGCCGCGGGGTCCTGAGAGGGCTCCCCCGACACACCGAGGCCCCGGGATCCGCAGCCCCGGGCCACCCGCGACCTCACCATCCCGCCGGCCTGTCCCTCGGAGGCCCGGTGGGTGCTCAGCCCTCCCTCCCCCCCCTGGCACGGGGGCTCCCCCTGGTGGCCGCTGTGGGAGTGGCCCTGCCACCCGGCACAGGCCGGTGTCCACGCCCCGCCCCCAGGGGCCAGCCTCTCTCCCCGCCGCGTGCAGGCCTGTCCTCTGCAGGGGTGCTGACCCAGGGCAAAGGCAGCCGCCCCCACTGTGCAGGGCTCCCCTCACCCTCCGACGCCCCTGGCTGCGGCCTCAGGGTGGCTCAGGGACACCTTCAGGAACCGTCCCGCCGGGAGTGGCGGAGGCGGGCCCGTCACCCAGTCTCTGAGCGGGTGGGGCGGGGGCTGCTGGGTGACGTGCCCCTGGAGGCACCTGCCCCCGAGGAGGAGACCCCGCAGTCCGGGGCAGCAGAGCGCTGAGTGCACCTGAGGCCCCCGTGTCACCGGGCACCTGCGTGCTCCCGGCCCTGCCTGTCTGGGCGGCCACCCCAGCCTCGTCCCCCTGGCTGTCAGGGCCCTGGCGGTGGGGCTGCCCTGGAGCACCTTGGCCCCGCGCCCTGGAGTGGGGTGAGCCCACCGGGGCTGGGTGGCCCAAGGGACCCCCGACGGTCCCCAGACTGACGTTCCCTGTGTTTAAGTGCTGGGACTCCGTCACAGGCTCAGTGGAGCGGCAGCCCCAGCCCCCCCCCCCGCAGGCCCAGTGCTCCCCTCTCCTCACGGGGGGGGGGTGCGAGGGGGGGACACAGGGGAGTGTCTGCCACAGAGGTGTGGCTGGGCCAGGGCTGGAGGCTGCCTGTGGGGCGGGGGGTGGTCAGCTCCGCCATCTGCTGCCTGGGCCTGCCTGGACCCGGGGACCAGCCGGGACCCACGGGCCGGGGGTGCTCCCGACCAGAGTGACCCCATCCCCTCCCTAGACCTAGTGGATGACGTGGGTCCGGCCCTGGTGGGGGGCACCTGTCGGCGGTCGGGGCTGGTGTGGGGCCTGCTGGGGCTGAGCCTCGCCCCCTGCTGGCTCTGGGGGACCTACCAGGCCTCCTCACCTGGTGCCCGAGCCCGGGAGCCTGGCTGGGGGCGGGGGGGTAGGAGGGTCCCAGGCCGTCTGTCCCCCGCAGGATGGAGCCCTGGCACGCCTTGGCCAGGTGCCATGGGCCTGTGTACCCCCGAGCCCTCCGCAGGGACGGCCTCCCGGTCCCGCTCTCTCCTGCCCCCGCCTGGGGGGGCGTCGGGCTCGGGCCGGCCTGTGGCCTCCGTGCGGGGCTGTCCCCCCGCTGGCATCTCCTGGCCTAGCTGCCCGACGCGGGTCACAGCCACCTGGGGAGGGCCAGGGACCCCGGGATAGCAGGGCGCGGCTCCGGAGCGTCTCCCGTGGGGGCCTGGCCAGCTCGCCCGGCGGCGGGGCCTGAGCGCCTTCTCCGGTGCCCTCTGCCTCGGGTGGGCAGGGGTGTCCGGGGCTGGCCACCGGGAGCCCGGGCGGCAGGCCCGCACAGTCACGAACAGCGGGGCCCCACCGCCGGTGTCCCGCCCTTTAGGCGCTGAGGCCTGGGGTATTCTATCTCGGGAGCCATGCACTCGCCGCCTGGAGCTGGAGTCTGTGCTGTGCCCACGCTGTGCTGGGACCAAGTGGCCCTATAGCCATCCGCGCAGGTGGCAGCTCCGGCTCCTGGGTGCAAAGGTGTCAAGGCAGGTGCACCTCGGGTCCGCCCTGTGCGGGCCCTTCTCCCCTAGAAGTGTCAGGGCCGCAGCGGGGAGGCAGGCTCAGGAGCAGCACCTGCAGCCTCTACCCCTCGCTGGGTGTGTAGGGCACCCCCTCTGCCCCCGTCCTGGGATGCTGCTCTGCCCTCACTGGCAGCCCCGAAATTGCACCCCCAGTGCCCTACCTCGGGCTGCTGGGGCCTCTGCCCCATCGCATCCACCACCCTGGCACCAAGCAGAGCCACTGTGCTCAGGACCAGCAGCCACTGGCCCCTTGCTGTGGCCCCGCTACCTCAGGAGCCCTTGGTGTGGATGAAGGGGAAAGAAGATGGCCTGAGCCTGGGGAAGGGGAGTCCTGGAGCCCTGGCTGCCCTGGTGGGGTGACTCCACAGCCCTGGATGGCTTTAGGGAGGAGGCCTGTGGGAGCTTTCCGAGAGGTTGTCCCAGAATCCTAGAGAGCACTGGGTGAAGACCTTGAGGTCTGGGGCTCCATTAGAGCCCCGTGGAGCCGTTGACAACCTTTGGATTGGGGCAGTGAGAGCAGCAGGGAGCACTCAGGTGCCTTTATGGGGTTCCAGGGCCCTAGGGGTTGAGCACGATACCAGGTGGGGCCCAGGGCACTGGGAGAGGTGTGGGAGCACTCAGGGGCACAGGGAGCCCTGGGACGTGACGCAAAGCCTGAAGCGCAGTTCCGGGGAAGCCCGGTGCCGTCCCTAGCTATCAAGACTCCACATAATGGGCTGCCTCAGAGCCCTGCAGGATGTGGGGGGTGCTCTCTAGGGACTCTGGGAGCACTGAGCGGTCCTCCATCTGGCACATGAACATGAATGGAGATGATTGTCCTTGGGGAATAAATTAATGGAAAGGGGGAGACTAGGGCACATGGGTGGGAATTTCTCCCCTTTCCTGTCTTCTCTCTTGCAAGGAACCACAGGGGGTGCCAAGCACACCGGGCTTCCCCCTTTCCTGCAACAGGTAAAGGCCTACCGAGCACCATTCCATCCAGAAGCCATGTCATCTCTCTCCCTTCCTTGGGATGCCCCAAGCTCAGCTCCCCTTCCTCTATGTCCCCTCGCTCGGCCCCAACTACTCCAGAGCGTCACCATGTCAACGTCGCCACTCCCCCAGGCCCTGTGTTGGGTCCACTAGGCTCCCCTTGCCTTTCTGCCCAGACCCATAGCCTGCCCAGGCACTGAGTGCTTTGGGGGCAGCTGCACTCCCAGGCAGGGTCAGTCCCTTCCGTGAACACACTTGATTTGGGATCAGTTGGTGAAAGGAGCTGCCTCAATGTGCTTCTGCGGGGTCCTGGTGCACTGGAGACCTGACACAGGCCCACTGACCTGCCCGTTGGGCCCCTGTCATCGGTGAGGAGGCATTATGCTGTGTCCATGCCCACTGCGCGCCACGGAACATCTGGGTCTCCGCCCCGGCACTGACACGGTGAGGGGTAGAGGCAGGAGCCTGGGGGAAGTCCATCCCCCAGGGGACAAACCCGGAGGGAGTGGCTTGCAGCCAACAAGGAAGGCCGAAGCTGTGTGTGTGGGGGGGGGATGTGAAAATAAGAACCAACTCCTCTAGGTTTTTCTGCGTGTTCTAAATGCACGTGTTACTTTTAGGAAAACACACATGCACGCACACCCGCAAACGTGGGAGAAAGACTAGCATGCAGGAAAAAGAACCAGCCGGGAGCCAGGGGTAGGTGGGGTCCCAGTTCCAGCCCTGACCCAAGCTCACTCCGAGTCCTACGGCCTGAACCAGGAGCTGGTCAGAGGCCAGGGAGTGAGGCCGGGGCCCCTCCTGTCGGGAAAGTCCACGGGAGCCCCTGCCTCCAGCTGAGCGCTTCCCCCTGGGCTGCCCCACCGAACCCTGTGTGTGGCTTCACGGGACACCCTGCCTTGCATTTCCTTAGCACGTGTGGGGATCCCTGGGTGGCTCAGCGGTTCGGCGCCTGCCTTCGGCCCAGGGCGTGATCCTGGAGACCCGGGATCGAGTCCCACGTTGGGCTCCCTGCATGGAGCCTGCTTCTCCCTCTGCCTGTATCTCTGCCCTGCTCCCCCCCCCATGAATAAATAAATATTTAAAAAGAAAATTTTGAGAAACCTTAAATAAGTAAGTAAGTAAAGTAAATAAATAAATAAATAAATAAATAATAAACATGTGTGTACTTTGCAGGTGGAGGTGCTCGCCTCCCGCACAGAAAACCTGGAGATAAGCAAGAATATAGGCAGGTGAGGGGTGGGACTTACGCAGGGGCAATGCGGCATCCTGTGGGCCTCTCCCCCGCCCTGGACAAGCGGCCGCCCGGGAAGAGCCCGCCACAGGCCGCATTTCCTCCCCATCCACCTGCCCTTGGGTACTGAGGCCGGCCGTCGGCTCCTCCCCGTCAGAACATCTGTAGCCAGTGCTGTGCACGCACCCTCGCCTGCATTTATGGGGGAGCTCTCTGCATCCCGTGGGGGCACGCTTCTTTGCCTAGTTACAGTGGCTTTGGGTCACGAGTCAGGGAGCGAACCCTACCAGTAAAGCACAAATGTGCCCGTGGGTAGCATGCGGTCCCTACCCCAACCCCAAAGCAAGAAGGGAGAGCGAACAAAGCCAGATGTTGCTCGTGGAGACCCAAGGCCTGGAGGCTCCCAGCCCAAGTCCTTCCCAGCAAAGAGAGCCCACACGTTAAAAATAAATGGTCTTTTTATTGTGTCCACGAAAACAAAGTCAGGGTGGCCTGGGTTAATCCCCCCGACGAGGTGACAACAGACAGGAGGCATGCAATGACAACAACCATGTTCTCCTCTCCAGGAGAAGGGTCTCACCCTCCTGGGCCCTGGATCAGAGGCAAGCAGGACCAGGAGACTCCAGAGGAAGGCCTGCCCGGGCCCGCCATGCCGCGGAGGGCCTGGGCTTGCCACCTCCCGGGCAGAACGAGGCAGGGGGAGCAAGCACTGCCCTGGGCCAAGCCCAGCACACCGAAGCTAGAACACACAGAAAAGCCCCCACCCCCTCCCCCAGCAGACACTACTAAGGCAGTCAGCCAGGACTTCCGGGAACAGCTGGCCACAAAGCCAGCCCCTCAGGGCTCCGTCCAGAAGGGATTGCCATCCTCAGCCTGCATGGAGTAGTAAACAAAGAGCAGGAAGGCAGCAAAGACCAGGAACAGGAGCAGCTGGCCCCAGAGTGGGACCTGGCGGTCCTGGCCCAGACCAGCCCCAGGGGCCTGCTTTTCTGGCCGGATAGCACGACGGGTGAGCCACGAAGTGGGGGAAGATGAAGATGAGGATATGGGAGAGGTGGAAGAGGGTGTGGGATAATAGGACAAGCCCAGGGAGCTTCTGGAGATGTTGGAAACAGGGCGGTAGTGCACGATGTTCTGGTAGGTGCTGTCCCGGCCATACCCGGAGCGTTCCCTGAGGCAGAGAAGACAGCAGGTTAGCCAGGGGGCCTGCGCCCAGAACCGCCCGCTGCCTGGCCCTTCCTGCCACTCACCTGTCCTTGCTGTCCTCTTCAGAAGAGAAGAGACTGTCATCGCGCACCTGCAGGTAACAGGGAGAGGGGACTGGCCAGCAGGGTCAGCAGCCTGTAGCCTGTCCCGTCCTCACTGCAAAGTAGCCCAGCTGAAACACCCGGACCCTGTTCCCTCCAAAACTCTCCTGAGTTCCCAGCCTTAGCCCGGTAGGGCTTTGTCACCCACTCCACGACTCGACAGGTACCCTGGCCACCTGCACCTTACTTTCTGCCCCGGGGGGGTCTGAGAAAGATCTCAAACCTAGATCCCAGGTCAGGGTGCACGGCACGTCCCAGGTGCCCTAGTGTTAGGTCTGACACTCCCCCAAGGATGGCCCTGCCCAGGGAGGTGTGCACTTACCTTGCCTCTAGGGAGGCACAGGGCCTACTGCGTACCCCCCCGTCCAGGTTTTGTCCAAGCCCAGCTATGACCCCCACAGGTTGTACGCAGGTGCTCGGCAGCCAGCTCACCTGGTGGTGAAAGGTGTCCGAATCTGCGAGTGAAGCTGACGGCTGGCGGAAGCCCTTGGAGGAGCCCACGGGCTCAGGGTCCCCGTAGGTCCTGGTGCTCAGGTAGCTCTCCTCGTAGTAGTCATCGCCGTAGCCTTGGGAAGGGGGGACAGCGGTAGCAGGGTGCACAGTGGCTGCACCCACCTGCCCTAATCTCAGTCCCATGTGGGAGCCTGTGGCACGGTCTCTCCCATCTGGGGCTGCTGAGGATGACGGGCTTGAGATCCCAGGTCCCCCCAACACCAGGCTCCCTAAGGGAGGGGGTAAGGGTGGCAGAGTTGTAGGGTGCCCCCCCGCCCAGCCCAGCCTTACCCTTGCTCTGGTAAAGCAAGGCGTCTTCTTTCTTGGGCAGATCGTACATATCCGAGTCCACGGATGCCGAATCTAAGTCTGAAGGGGGGGGGCAGGACCATTTGCCCCTGGCTCGCCTCCGCTCTTCCCGTGCCCCTCCCAGCCACCGCCCTGCCACACCCTCCGGACCCCATGCCCCCCCGTCGCCCAAACCCCGTCCCCCTGGGAGGCCAGGTGGAGATCCGGGGTGGGGGCCTCACCCGAGAACCGATAGGAGAAATTGAAGGCGGACGAGTTGGGGGGCGACAGCCTCCGCCTCTGGGTCTCGTACTCGAAGATCTTCTTTTCGTAGAGCTTGCGAGTGGAACCTGGCCAGACACGGGACACGGGGCGTCAGGGCCGCGGGTCGGACCCCGGGGGGGGCGGGGAGGGGGCGCGCTCGCCGCCGCGTACCCACGACAGGCCCGTGCGGGATGTTGTACTGGCGCAGCACGGCGGCCAGCTCGGCGTCCGACAGGACCGCGTAGTCGTCCATGGCGGGCGGCGGGGACCCGGGGGCCCGGGCCTGGAGGGCGGCGGGCGGCGGGGAGCTGGGGGGGCCCGGGCCTGGCGACGCGGGCCCAGCTACCACTGCCTCCGAGCACGGCGGGGGCGGCGCGAGCGTCTCGGGAGCGGCAGCGCTCGCGTCACGCCTGCGTCACGCTCGCGTCACGGCCGCGGGCTCTGCGGACTGCGCGCGAGGCGGGGCGGGGCCGGGCCGCGGGCGGCGCCGGCGCGGAGCAGGGACCGTGGGAGCGGGCGGGGCGGGCGTCATGACGTCGGACGTCGCAAGCGGGCGGGATAGGCTGGCGGCGGCGGAGGGGCGGGGCCGCGCTCCGGAGGGGCGGGGCCCGCCGGCCGAGGGGCGTCACGCGCCGGCGCGCAGGGGCGGGGCTCGAGCAAGGAGCCGGGCCTGCGGGGGCGGGGGACGAGCGTGGGCTCGCCGCGACGTGGGGGGCGGGGCGGGCGACCGAGGCGTCACCGGCTGGCGTGTCGGGGTCGGGAGGGCGGGGGTGGGGGCCTACGCAAGTCGAACCGGCAGAAACCGGCCAGGACAGGAAAGCGGCGCAGGACTGACGCGCTGGGCGCGGCTCGCGCTCCCTGAGTCACGCGGGCTCCGACGGTCCCCGCAGCCCCCTGCCCCCTCCGCACCCCGCGCTCCCCGGCCCCCCCGGGCCGGCCGCGCCTCCGCCGCAGCGGGAAGGGACCCCGATCCCGAGAGCGGGCCCTCGGGGCCGCGGGGCCCAGGCCCGGGCAGCAGCCGCCTCGGCCCCCCGTGCCCGCCCCGCTCCGCTCTCCACCTGCGCCCGTCGTCCCGCAGGTCCCCAGCGCCTCCCACCCTCCCTCGCTCCCTCCCTCTCTCCCACTGCGCCCGGGAGGAAATGGGGCAGTGGGCCAGGAAGCCGCGGGCACCCCAGGAGCGGGCATCCTTGCAAGGCACTGGGCGTGCCCGTGGGCGCTGGCAGGGGGCCGAGCCCAGCGTGCGGGCGGCGGCCAGCGTGCGCCCGACCCCCCGCGCCAGCCACCTGGGGCGCCAGGGCTTTCCTCTGCTGTCCAGGGCGTCCCCGGGGCAGCCTGGGGGGGCGGGGAGCCTTCCAGCCCCCGACGACCTGCTGGGCCGGCTCTGCGCGCTTGGGCCTGGGTGGGTCTCCGGTGCGCCGAGCACAGGGGGCCCCGGCGTACTCGCGGGTGAGTGCGCAAGGTTGCACTGTCATTAGGAATTGGTGAGGGCCTTGGTCGCAAAGAGCTGTTCCTGGGGGAATTGGAAGGGAGGTGACAATCATATTCTAAATGAAGCCAACTCAGGGAATGTGGGTCCAAATGAAGTGCCCCCCCCCCCGGAGGCCCAGAACTGGGAGCATAGGGAGAAGAGGTGCTATCTTTGATATCAGATGATAGCTAGTGACAGGGACAAGAGACAGGTCTCCGATCCATCCTGGTCCAGCTGGTGAGGGTCACAGACCAGTTCTCTTTGGGTCACAGGGTGGAGAAGAGGAAGCCACACAGGGAGTGGTGAGATGGGGCCTTGGTGTGAACACACATGCATAGACTCTAGACGTGCCCCTGGCGGGGTTTCAGTGTTTCAGAGCACAGGCCAAGCTGCTCCATCTCCTGAAATAGGAGAAGGAGGTGCGTGGGCCTGCCGACAAGTGCATGGCAGTAAAGGGGAGGACAGCCCTTGGCAGGGCAGGCACTTGCTGCTTATCTTTCAGAGCAGGGAAGGAGATGGCATTTGGACTCTGGCGCGCAGAGGCTGCCTCATGGAATTTGGAGTTTTGGCAAGATCAGATTCCCCAGCACCTCTCCAAGCCTTCTTCTGCAATGCTGGCCCCTGTCCCAGAGGCTCAGTCCTCCCCCATGCCACCCCTCCCTGTAGGGATCCAAGCTGTTTCCTTATGAGGTCAAGGAATTCTAGGTTTGCCTTCTCCCCAAGGAGCACCCCCTCCCCCAGCACCTGCCTCGGCACTCTGCCTTTTATGTCCCACCTATGGCCCCACTATGGGGATCCCACCATCGATGGTACCAGGAGGCTGAACTGTGATGCTTCCGTGCGCCCGCCCCGTGGGCACCTGTAGCCCAGGTCCAGCCCCGCCGCAGTGGAGACCTGCTCAGACCACCGGAAACCAGACACACTCTTGACCACGGGAGCTAAGAGGCCCTCCGCACCACCGCCATCGCCGAGAGGAGGAATTGGGGGCCTAGAGAGGGAGCACACTTGCCCAAGGACCTCTAGTGCAGGAATTCAATCACGGACATTCCCACAGCTGGGTCCTAGTTCTCAGGGCAACGGCCTGGACGGTGTGGCCCAGTGGGGGTTCTGAGTCCTCGGAGAGGCTGGTGGGGGGAATCTTCAGCCTTTAGCGAGGCTTTCTGGGAAGGGTGTGCACAGGTAAATAAGAAGAAGAATTTTTCTGGAACTGCAGCCAGGGTGGGAAGAGGTAGGAAACCACTGATTCCAAGTCAAGAATAAAAAGACAGTTTCCTTTGGGGCACTGGGTGGCTCAGTCGGTTAAGTGCCTGCCTTCAGCTGAGGTCATGATCCCAAGGTCTTGGGATAGAGCCCTGAGTCAGGCTCCCTGCTCAGCAAGGAGTCTGCTTCTCCCTTTGCCCCACTCCCTGCGTGTGTGCTTTCTTCCTCCCAAATAAATCTTTTTTTTTAAGATTTTATGTATTTATTCATAAGAGACACGGAGACAGAGGCAGAGACACAGGCAGAGGGAGCAGCAGGCTCCCTGCAGGGAGCCCGATGTGGGAGTCGATCCCAGGACCCCGGGATCATGCCCTGAGCCGAAGGCAGGCGCTCAACCGCTGAGCCACCCAGGCATACCCCAATAAAATCTTAAAAAAAAGAAAAAAGAAAAAAGTTTCTCTTTTAAGGATGGGAATGGTTCTAAGCAGTATACAGTGTAAATTAGACTCCCAGCAGGGTTGAAGGTTAAAGGAAATGTATCAACTCAAGCACATTTCTCAGGATTCGTGTCCAAGGAGAAGATTGTTCAGTGAGCAATTAACATTTTCTTTAAAATCAAAATCTTCCTAATACTTTAGTTTGATACGAAACTTAACTCTTTGGCCCGCCTGGGTGGCTCAGAGACTCCTGATTTCAGCTCAGCTCAGGATCTCAGGGTCCTAGGGTTGAGCCCCTCAGGGCCTCGGGCTCCCCGCTCAGTGAGGAGTCTGCTTCTCCCTCTCCCCCTCCCCCTGCTCATGCTGCCTCTTAAATAAAGTCCTTTAAAAATTGTTTAAATATTTTTTTAAAAACTGAAGTTTTCAAGGATGTCAAAGATCCTTTGGATTTTACCTGCTGGTATTCAAATGCACTGAAACATTGCTCAGAGGGCGCCCCGGCGGCTCAGCGGCTGAGCGTCTGCCTTCGGCCCAGTGCGTGACCCTGGGGTCCCAGGATCGAGTCCCGCCTTCTTCTGCAATGCTGGCCCCTGTCATCGAGTTCCCCGCAGGGAGCCTGCTTCTCCCTCTGCCTGTGTCTGTGCCTCTGTGTCTCTCGTGGATAAGTAAATGAAATATTCTTAAAAAGAAAAAGAAACGTTGCTCAGAGAGTAACAAAAGTTGTAAGATCATGAGTGTTGTGAAAATTAATATGTGGAAGATTGTCTCAATCAATATAAAACAGTGAATGGTTAGCTGACTAAACGCCTCTCAAAGAACACATTGGTTCATCTTGGTACTACTGACATGGCCAGGTGGAGATTCAGCCTGCCTTGGTGGCAAGAATGGAGCTGATTCCAGTGGTTTTGCAGAACCTTCAACGCAAGGAGAAAAAAGCCTGTAATTTCGTTTGATCTTCACCAGAGAGCCGTGGGTGCTGTGGGTGCTGTGGGTGCCGTGGGTGCCGTACAAACTTCGCTCCCCCTAAGCCCGGAGGAAGGAGAGATCAAGAGCTGCCTGCCTTTCTGGCTTGCACGTGGAGGGGAAGGGAGGGGGGTAGGTGTAAAGAAGGATTCAAACGGGGGTGGGGGTCCCCTGGTCCAGCCATGTGGCTGGAGCCTCCCTCGTGCCCCCCCACCTGTTGCAGTGGCTCCCGTTGTAATGTCTGTGGTAGGGCGGGCCTCCGTCCTTGAAGGACAGCCTTGGCCGTGAGCTCCAGCACAGCTACCCCACAGGCCCGAATGCCTGCTGCCCATCTGTGCTCATCCATCGAGTGACGCAAAGCACTGCCCTCCCCAGCAGTGTGTGTGGGGGGGTTCCCACCGGAGGGAGCAGCAGGAGACCCCCACCCTCTTAGGAGATGCCACTGTGGGTGTAGGTGGAAAGGCCATCGCCAGTAGAGCTAGCAAAGGTGGCAGTGAATGCCTGGGGGCCTTAGGGGACAACGGCACCCTCCTTTAGTGTTAAGACTGTAGGTGGCTAGCCCAGTGCGCTCAGCAGCTACCACCAGCTTTGCCCTCCCTCCCTTCCTTTCTTGTTTTTTAAAAAAATTTTAGGGCAGCCCGGGTGGCTCAGCGGTTTAGCGCCGCCTTCGGCCCAGGGTGTGATCCCTGCATGGGGCCTGCTTCTCCCTCTGCCTGTGTCTCTGCCTCTCTATCTCTCTCTCTTGATGTCTTTCATGAATAAGTAAATAAAATCTTTTTAAAAATTTAGATTCATTTATTAGGGGGAGAGAGAGCGCACCTGCGTGGGGGGGTGTGGGGCAGAGGGAGAGAGAACCCCAAGCCCACTGCCCACTGAGCACAGAACCCCACCTAGGGCTCCATCCCAGGACCCTGAGATCCTGACCTGAGCGCAGATGAAGAGTCCCGCCCTCAACTGTCTGAGCCACCCAGGCGCCCCTCTTCCTCCCTTTTAATGAAGTAGAAAAGAATAAAAAAGGTCAGAGCACTTTTCAGGTACTTAGGAAAAGTCTCATTCTGTGAAGCGTTTATTTCAGTTGTTTGCGTCCGTGTGCGTGTGTGCGAGGGTGAGCACTCTCCCACCGGCAGGGCCGCGCCACTGGCTCGGGACAGAAACCCTAGTTCTCACTGAGGGTTGTGGGCAAAATGTTAAAATGACACTTCTTTGTGTGACCTTCCCCAAGGAAGTGACATTTGAGCCGCCTCTGAAGCTACCAAGAAGTAGGCCTGTGGAAGAGGAAGGGGGCCTGGCAGCGCGAGAGCGGAGGTGCCCACCCGGTCAGCAGTACCGGGCCGCGGCCACGGCGCCC